ATGCCAATTTGTGGCACCGAACATGTCAGTGACTTTCTACTCAACAAACTTGTCTCAAAGGACCAGATATGTGGGGTACCAACGATTAAATTTGTACACGATAAATTTTTTGATGGATGTGACAAAGACAAACAAAGCAGGACTTCATTCAAATAAAAGAAGCAAGTCTGCACTACCAGGCCTTTTAAATTACTACACGTGGACTTATGTGGACCTATAAAGGTTCAAAGCAGAGGAGGGAAAAATGCATATTGGTGCTAGTAGATGCTTTCTCAAGAATCGGTTTCCCAAGTGGAATACAGAAAACATTCTTGGGAACACCTATGGTATCCAAATCATAAAAGGGATGCCTAATTTCAAGTGAAATACATACACCATTCTTGAAAAACCCCGTAGTATGAAAACTCTGAAATGGATGCATAATTTCAAGTGAAATACAAACACCATTCTTGCTCTCGTATGAATTATTTTACAGAATTTACCTTGGCCCTATTACAAATGGGATGTGTTATGTCGGATAGTAGTACTTGTTGGCACCCTTATTGTGATACATAAATCTGACTTGTCTAAGACGAGACCCACCACAACAAAGATGAGAATTGAGGTTGACTTAGTTAAATCTCTAATTACAAAGGTTATTATTGAATATCAATTCAGAAGTCATGCTAGAAACCTTCAAATAGAAGGCTGAGTATAAATTTGCTCCATTCTTTTGCTCCCATTGCAAATGAAAGGTCATCTTGCAAAAAATGTATATTAGGCCAACCGAATGCTTCAAGGGATAGAAATAGATCGAGGAATCGTGGGAAAGAAGGGAATAATGTTTTACCCAATATAATAGCAACAACCATAAGAAAAGGAACCAAGACGTCTCTACAAATTAGACAAATGTATTAACTCATGAGGTTGATATTGTGATGTCAATGATCAAGACCATGGAAGACACTCTGAAAGCAGAAGCAGATGAATGGAAACATGTAGATGAAAGGAAGGATAAGGATAAGAATATCCTCTTTCATCAGCAAACTCAAAACAAAACAGGAAGCAACCTATTCCAAAATAAGAACCAAGAAGAGGGTTATGGCAGCCTATAACTAGAAAGAAATAAGACAATGGAAATCAGCAGCCCACATGACAACCAGAAAACCAATCAAGAATAAGAGTTCCCTCAAAGTCAGATCATCAGGATTTATATTGGAGAAACAACAAAAGGATAGTTCTAGGGAAACTAAAGACAAACATTCCTCTTTCATTACTTCATTCTTTCCATATTCCTCTCCTTTGTTCACTGTTACTCATCAAATGACACTCAGTTCATATCTTTAAGTTCGATCAGGGGGTGCGGGCGTGTTCATTCTCGCATTCATTCTACCCAGTCAAAACGATGGGAACGATTGAAAGCAGCTTACTCAAAGCCTGGTAAGTCACATCTATTACCTGTAGAATATTGGACTGGAAGGGGGAAACCCCTCAATCCTTATTTGAAGGGACATATAATAGATTTTCTCCAAAAGGAATTAAAACCTAAGGAGTTACAACTCTTTCCTGAAGGGTTGGTGTTTGATAATGAGTAGGAGGGTTAGGAGAAACAAAAGAACCACCACTATTATCCTGGGACAAACTGATAAATAGATGCACTCTTACCAAATGTTATATGCACACCAATATTCTCATGACTTTTGAGATTGATTACTCAGAGACTTTTTCAAACCTTAGACCTATCAGTTTAAGAAATGTCATCACTAAAGTCATTGCCAAAATATTTAACTCTAAGTTTTGTCAATATTCTTTGTAGCATCATCTACAAAAATTGAACTCGCCATATTAAAGGGAGATTCATAGAAGAGAAAATATTACTGGCCCAAAAGATCATCAATGATATCAATAAACCTAATTAAAGGAGCAGTGTGGTTAAGAAACTAGACATAACAAAAGTCTATGATAGAGTTTCATGTGAATTTTTTGCCTATTTAAGAAGAAATTTGTCTCTTATCAGTACTGGATCAACATGTTTTATAACTACAACTCCATTAATTAGTAGAAATTGACTTTTTCACTCTAAAAAGGGCCTCATACAAGGGGATCCTCTATCCCCATCTTTGTTCATCCTTAGTATAGAGGTACTCGCACAAATAAGGAATAATTTGTTAATATCTACCAATTATATTAGATTCTACATGAATTCTAACCATCCTTAGGTTAACCATCTTTCTTTTGTCAATGATACCATAATTTTCTAAAATGATAGAAAAAGGACTATGACTCTAGTTATAAAGACCCTATCTAACTAGAAGAAAGTTTTTGGTCAATTGATTATCAATAACAAAAGTTGTTTTGCCATGAGCTCTAAAACTAGTCTTGTTTCCACTAACAGATCTCTATCAAATATCTTGGATTCCTTATAATCACATGTAGAAAAGGGATTGAGAAATTCTTAGATATGGTCAACATGGTTATTGGTAGGATCTAATGATGGCATACCAAGCTCTTATCTTCTGGTGGCAAGGCTATAACGATCAAACATGTTCTGTTGGCTCTCCCTATCCATATCTTAGTTGTTGTTACCCTTCCTAATTTCACCTTAGACTTGATAGAAAATTTCATTGTCGAATATTTTTGGTCTGATTAAGATGGTATAGAAAAATTTCATTGTGCCTCTTTGAATAACCATTGTTATCCTTATAAAGAAGGAGGTGTTGATTTCAGGGCCTTGGCAAATATTTATAAAGCTTTCACAACTAAATAGTGGAGGTCTATAAGAATTTGTAGGGTTCTTTGGAGCAATTTCATTCTGGCTAAATAGTGTTGGAATAAGCACCTTGTCACTGTCCCTCAGAGCATAGGCAACTCTCACACTTGTGATACTAAGCAAAACATGGACCTTAACATAAAGTGGGACATTGGTAAAGGGAACATTTCTCTTTGGCGTGATGATTGATCTTCTCTGGGACTCTGTATCAGTATATTTCCAGTGGTCATACCCCTCAAAATATTATGCTTACGAATGTACTTTCTGTTGTTCATCTTGTATTCCTAAGATACTTTGAACAAAATTTTAAAGAATGATAATAAATAATAAAGTTTAAAGAGTATTTTCAAACTAGAAAATTAAAATTAGTAGAGAAAAAATAGAATCAAAAACAGATTAGAAATAATATAAAAATATTTTTCTCAAAGAAAGAAAATACGAGCCCACTGAATGCACAGTGTCTCCTTAAGGAATTATTCCCCTCAAGTACCCGAGGTTAATGGAATATATCCTCCCAGGATAGAACGATCTTACTCACCGATGTATCGATACCTAAAACCACGGTATCAGCGAACCACTCAACGACATTAAAGTACACTTAGAATACTAGATTTAGTAGTAGTAGAAGAAGTCCAGAAAAATTAGCTCCAACCAAAATGAGAGAAAATCTCTCAATTTATAAAAAACAAAGGGTAGTATGAAAAAGTTCTTATTGTGTCTTACCGGAAAGGTCACAAACCTTTAGAAAAGGCACAATCTTTCGGAAATGTTACAACCTTTCATAAAAGTCACATGAAGTCGCAATTTTTCATAAAAGTCACAACTCTTTATTTTCCATTCACACCTTTTAAAACCCAACACTTTCCAACAATTTGTGGTACCGGGAGAAATTGGATTTTGATCTCTTAGATGATTTAAAACTCAAGATTATCTTATTTAATATCTCCCTTTACGAGGACATTGAAGATAAGGCTAATTTTGAATATGTCCAACTCTTAGAACTTCTCTATTCGATCTACCTAGGAATTCATCAAACAGAGAAGTGATATTAATCAAATTAATTGTAAGAGATGTATTGATAATAAACTCTGGACTGATAAGAGAATTTTCAGGTTGGGAATCGTTGGAGCCCCAATGCTATTGATGCATACCCTCTAATGCTACTACCTTAGAAAATGTAAAGCACGTATTTCACAGACATCACACCAAACCCATTTGGATTATGTTTAAGAAATTCTAATCTGAATATGATCCTTTCGAATTGGTGGAATTTTATATCTCATAATCTTACATCACAAAAAATAAACTATCTATTGTCGTATGTTGGGAGTCATAAAAGTCTGGATAGGGGACCAACAACTCAGCAGAAGTTGATCCAATGTTTTTTGGGATAAAATAGTGCACGACTAGGACTAGGAGTGGCAAACGAGCGAGTCGAGTCGAATATGAGTCGATCAAAAAATGAGTAAAATAAAAATAAATAAATTACTCGACTCGACTCGACTCACATTTTAAATGGGTAAAAACAAATTACCCAATGGATAACCATATTACCCATATTTTAATAGAAATCTTGTTAAAAGTTTTAAAAACAAAAAAAAAATTAAAGTTTTTTTTATCACTTCATTCCACCCCTACCCCCTATCCTAAAAAAATGTAAAAAAAAAATTAAAAAAATTACCACCCCCCCCTAAAGCTTTTTTATTACTTCACTCCACCCCCTACCCCCTATCCCAAAAAAAATGTAAAAAAAGTTTTATTTTTTTATAGATTTTTTTTTATAAAAAAAAGACTTTCTTACTGCCCCATCCTTTATCACTTTTTCTTGTTTGTGTGAATGCATATCTTTTACCCATTCTATCCATTTAACTACCCACTTTTAAATGGGTAATATGGGTATTATTCATTTTTACCCATTTTTAAATGAGTTGGATATTCAATCCATTTAAAATGAGTAAATATGAACGGATACCCATATTAATTACCCATTCTGCCACCCTATGCACGACCAAGGGGATGATAGGGGAAACATAGTCTATGCTTCTCACTAAATGGATATTGGAAATTGCCTTGGAGGATCAAAAACCGTATAAAGGAGATCTAGATGACCAAGATTGAATGCATACATAGTGTTTTTTGGGAATGTATCCCTATTTTGTATTTGTATAAAGTGCTTATTGATTTGTTGGGTTGTGTACCTGAGAAATACAAAGAGTTGTAGAAAACAAATTAATGTAAAATTGCATGATACCTTTGAATAAACAAAATGAGTTGCAAGGCCAGATGCAATCATTTCAGAGCCATTTATTTTTGCCCCTGTTAATCCTAAGTATTCTCCTGTAAGTAAGATTGAGTGATACACAAATCACATTAAGAAAAAAGTGTTAAAGTCATATAAAATTTGTTAAGAGAAAAATTAAATGATTACCAAAATGGCCAGGTAATCTTGAAAGAAAATAAGATGCCCCAACATCCGGATAATGTCCAAATGAGGCTTCTGGCATGGCAAATACCTACTTATACACAAATAAATAATTGTTAAAACGAAAGGATCTCCTATAAAATAAAACAAAATATTCATCTTTCAAACATTAATATTATAATTTTAGAAGAAATTAGCTATAAAGCTCACCGTATTTTCAGTTACAATACGGAATTTAGCATTCATGGAAAGACCAGCACCTCCTCCCATTACAGCTCCATTGATAAGGAAAACCTTCATGCATGCATGCATGTTTAATAATTGAATATATAATTTATTTCTAGGATACATACTACTGATAAAACTTACAACTGGTTTTTTGTATGTCGCCACCAAATAATCCAAAGTTAGCTGGTTTTTGTAAAACTCCTTAACACAATACAAGTCTCCTATTATACCACATCATCAAACACACAATTTTAGTTTCTACTTTCTATATAAACTTCAAATCAACTAGTCTACCATCTATCTTAAAACAAAAGGATTTTTTTCTAATTTATATATATATATATATAAACTACACCAGCCTTGCATCCATGCTTCTGGTCTCTGGATAACATTTTATCTTAGCCTTATTTATTTGTATTGGTCCATCAAGAAAACATAGGGAAAACCAACGTAGTCCCTCAAATTTTCTACCATAAAATTAGGTTAACCGATAGACAGGGTTGGGTTTAATAATATATTTTTTATCAAATTGATCTTTAATTTAACAATATTTAAAAAAAATAGAATTCATGTTACTTTTTATAAAAACAAAAACTACGGGCTGTCCATCAATTTTTTGGTCTAGATCCAATCAACTCATTTAGTAGAAAACATAGGGACAACCCGACCCTATCTATGAATGTTCTACTTAAAATCGGAATTGTTTTCGATTCCCCTTCGTTGACCCCCCTTCGATTCCACTTAAAATTAGTTTTTCTTCAATTACATTATTATTGTTGGATTTTAATTATATACCTTCGATCTAAATGTATTAGTTTATTTAGGTTAATTACTTTTATATATTACGTGTATTACCATATAATTTGTGATCAAGGTAGACACTTTACTAACCAAAAAATGTGTAGTGATCACTTTTGATGTCATTGAAATGATATATATTTGATCCTCATTGTCAATATTATGAATGTATTAGTTTGAAATTTATAAATTTAGGTTCTTGGCATTGTTAAGTACTTATCACTTTGTTAATTTTTAATTTGTAGATTCAGGTTCAAAGCTTTATTTATTTGAAATTTGTATATTTAGCTATTAATTTTTGTTTTAACGTTGAAAATATAATATTTTAAAAATACGAAAATTTGATAACCATAATTTAATAATTACAAGAATTTATAAAAATGATTTTTGAGGGTGTTCTTGGATTAATTATAATTGGCCATTACATACTCAAATTCCATAACTGTATATAATTTTAATAATTAACCATTAAATACTCAATATATAATTTCATTGAAATCCAAGTAACTTTAGGAGGTCGGATAATTATCAACCATTTTTAAACAATAAAATTTAATTATCAATACATGCAACTTAATTAATCTAATTTATAATTAAATATCTATATTTTTTAGATAAATCATAGTATGCTGATATATGAAAAGACTAATGAAAATTGTGTTTACTCAATTACATGATTTAGAGCTTATGGGAGTGTCTTGTGCATTTTAGGTAAAAAAGAGTTTGAAATCAAGTAAGTATAGAACAAAAAGTTGATGATACTCAAAATGAAGTCCAAGGCAAAGCCAGAAGCTCGCCTAGCGGGATGGAAAGAGAAGGGGGCCAAAATTAACACCCCTCTTAAATTAAGCCCCTACACGAAGCACAGGGAGGGCAAAGGAAAAGACCTTTGTGACGCGAGGGGCATGATGAGATAATACACCTCTACTATAGACCTACATAATTTTAGGCCCTTTCCTAGTCTTATTTGGTAGACCCTCAAAGATGATTTCAACATTATAAATACAATACTTATGAATTTTAAAACAAGAATTTGACCATATTGATGAGAGAAACGATGTAGGAGTATAGAAAGAAGACAAAATACTATTATTTTAGGGTTATTTCTAAATTCTTAAGATAGATTACCTTATTTGTTGTTTTTGAAGCTAATATTGTGTAGTAAGATTGTAAGTGGCTAAAAGCCTTCATTCTAAGGTTATGGTCATTGTATGAACAATAGTTTTCAATCCTTTATTATTGTAAATTCTACCATACATGTCTTTATTTCTTGATATTATGCTTACTATTTTGTGGTTTCGTGTACCATAAGAAAAATGAATAATTCCTAGGGAAACTTGAGAGAATAAACCTAGAAATAGAATGTGAATTAAGGGGAGTAGGGTTCGTCTGCTGATGGATCTACTGCTAGGACTAAGTCGTACCTAATTTTTCCTACTTGTCTTAAATATAATACGATATATAAATGTATTTTGAGTGGTTTACCACATCCCCTCTCAATGATGTAGGTGCGAGGCCAATCTAGGTAGGTGGTTAGAGTCTTGGGAGACCACGGTCATATTATCAACCAAGTGACTTAGCAAGTCAATAAATATCTTAGTCATGCTTAACAACAGTAAAAACAATATGATGGAATTACACAAGCATCATAGCCCTAGGCTTTAATAACTCTAAGAACAACACCCACAATCATTCTTACTTACTTGCATTACTTAGTATAATTAGTAGGTTAAACAACAACAGCCAACTCTCTCTTGAACTAAATACCATTTATTCTCATAACGATAGTAATGGAATCTGTAGCTTGTCAGCAACTAAATTTCTGAGGGATCAGTAAACCCAATTACCTTGGTAGGTGAAATTTAGGTAAACCATAAAATGGTTTCACTTGTTTAACCTTGACATTTTTGACACATAGTGATGTCATGGATGACATCAATATGAAGAATTCATTCCTATAAATAGATAGTTCTTAATTCATTTTCAAATCATCATCTCACTTGCCTTCTCACCTTCTAAGGCATTTGATGTTCTCTCTCTTGTAGTATTTCACTTGTATTCTTTGCAGAGTGAAATAAATATTGGTGCAGTTGTTCTTTGGTGGACGTAGGATAATTTTGATCCGAACCACATTAAATATTGTTGTTCTTCCTTGTTCTTTATTTTCACGTTTTCGCTAACAATTGGTATCAGAACCAAGGTTCTGTCTGAGTATGCTCTGTGGTTGTAGCATAATCTAAACTTCCACATCAGAAAAGAATTACTTTGGTTTTCTGTATTTTCAAATACATTGTAGTAGAAAAGGAAGAAGAAGTAAAGATGAGTTCCATGAACGAAATTGATAAATTTAGTGGGCGCAACAACTTCAATATCTGGAAGATCCAGATGATGGCGTTACTGCGGAGGGAAGGTTCAATCCATGATATTGACAGAAAGTACCCTGATAACATATCAGATTCCGACGAGAAGATTGAAGGAGATGCATTAAGTGTAATCCAACTGTCCCTTGCACCTAACGTACTTTGTGAAGTGAGTACAAGTATCGAGGAGACGGCCAAATAGTTATGGAAAAGGCTGGAAGGGCTTTACCAGGATCGGTCAGTGACAACAAGGATGTTGTTACAACGGCGTCTTCACACATTTAAGATGGAGTCAGGTACTTTATTGCAGGACCGTCTAGATGCGTTCAACAAACTTGTGATGGACTTACAAACTGCTGGAATTAAACAGGATGAGGAGACGCTAGCATGTGCTTTGCTATTTTCATTGACTTCAAAATATTGTGATATTGAGAATTCAATGATGTATAGCAAAGAGCCTATCACTCTTGAGCAAGTGCGGCAAACACTTAACTCTTGTGATGTGCGGATGCATTTTGAAGGAGACAAAGGTGACGAAGCTAGTGGGCTCTTTGTGAGAGGTAGTACTAGCCAACAGGGAAGGAGCAAATCGAATTACAGATCAAAGTCTCGTATGAACAAGAAGAATGCGGAGTGTTAGGGCTGTCACAAGAAGGGGCACTTTGAACGAGATTTCCCTATGTCAAAGTCCAAATAAAAGGCGAGTGCATCCATTGTTGAGCAAGTATATGATTCTGATGATGATTATGTACTAACAACATCATGCAATAGTGGAGTCTATGACAACAAATGAGTGTTAGACTCTGGTTGTACTCTGCATATGACATTCCGAAGATATTGGTTCAGTAGTTATGAAACAAGTGGAGGAACCGTATTAATGGGCAACAATGCAACTTGTAAAATAGTTGGCATTGGTTCAGTTCGTGTTCGCTGCCATGATGGAACCGTGAGGACTATTACAGAAGTCCGTCATGTTCCTAATATGAAGAAAAACTTGATCTCCCTGGGTAATTTGGATAAACAAGGCTACAAGTACATGAGTGAAGGAGGAACTATGAAAGTGACTAAAAGGTCTTTAGTCATGTTGAAGGCCAAGCTGGAGGATGGCTTCTACACACTTGCGGGAAGCACCATTATTGGCTCTGTAAATGCATCTACAGTGCAGTTATTTAATGATGACAAGGCAAAATTATGGCACATGAGACTAGGCCATATGAGCGCACGAGGATTGGAGATGTTGAGCAACCACAACCTTTTGAATGGTGAGAAGATCAACACACTTGAATTTTGTGAGCACTGCGTCTTAGGGAAGCAGAAAAAGGTCAGCTTCAGCACTAGCAAGCACAAGATGGGAGGGGTGCTAGACTACATCCATTCAGATTTATGAGGTCCCTCTAAGCTTCCATCGAAGAGAGGAAAGAGGTATCTTCTCACATTCATTGATGATTTTTCACGAAAGGTTTGGGTGCGTTTCCTGAAGGCAAAAGGTGATGATATTGAAGCATTTAAAGAGTGGAAGATTTTGGTTGAAGATCAAATGGAGAGAAAAATCAAGTATCTTCGCACAGACAATGGCTTGGAGTTTTGCAGTGAAGAGTTCAATGATTTCTGCAAGGTTCATGGGATCGCAAGGCATAAGACGGTCAGGCATACACCACAACAGAATGGAGTTGCCAAGAGAATGAACAGAACTCTTCTTGAGAAGGCTTGTTGTATGCTCTTACAAGCCAAGATGTCCAAAGTATTTTGGGCTGAAGCAGTTCATACTGCTTCTCATATTGTCAATCGATCTCCGGCATCAGCTATTGATTTTAAGACTCCGAATGAGGTATGGTCAGGTGAACCCTCTAACTATTCGTACTTGTGAATATTTGGGTGTCAAGCTTATTATCATGTTAATGAAGGAAAACTTGAACCAAGGGCTAAAAAGGCCATATTCGTAGGGTATGTAGATGGAGTAATAGGGTACAAACTTTGGTGTTTGTCCTTACTCAAATTTATAGTTAGTAGAGATGTTACCTTTGACGAATCATCTATACTTGATCCTCGTAAAGTTTCTGTGGAGTTATCAAGAAATGATAACAACGAGCAGGTGGAGCTACCTGTGTAGCTTACCAAGGAAAAGGATCAAGAGACTCAAATTAAAGAGTCAAAAGATGCAGATCTTGAAGAACTTGCTGTCAATGAACCATACACAATTGTGAAGGGAAGAGACAAAAGGCAGATACGGAAATAGGAATGTCTTATAGAGCAAGAAAATTTGATTGCATATGCATTCGTAGCTGCAGAAGAAGATATTAAGGATCTCGAGCCCTCCTCGTATGTTGAAGCAACTTCTTGAAAAGATGTTGCACAATGGCAATTAGCCATGATGGAAGAGATGGAGTCTCTTCGCAAAAATGAGACATGGGTCTTAGTTAAAAGGCCAAAGGAGAAGAGGATAGTTGGATGCAAATGGGTCTACAGAAAGAAAAAAGGGTATTCCAGAAGTAGAAGATAATAGGTTCAAGGCGAGATTGGTCAAAGGGTTTCAGCCAGAAGAAGGGAATTGACTACAATGAGATCTTCTCTCCAGTCGTGAAACATAACTCAATTCGCATGTTACTAGCATTGGTTGCACAATTTTATTTAGAGCTTCTACAACTTGATGTCAAAATTGCTTTCTTACATGGTGATCTAGAAGAGATAATCTATATGGATAGGTTTCCTAGTTGAAGGAAAAGAAGATCATGTATGCCAACTGAAGAAGTATTTGTATGGTTTGAAGCAATCCCCTAGACAATGGTACAAGAGGTTTGATGCATTCATGACTATACATGGATTTTCGAGGAGTGCATTTGATAGATGTGTGTATCACAAGAAGATGTCTAGTAACTCTATGATTTATCTATTGTTGTATGTTGATGATATGCTTATTGCTACTAACAACATCACAACGATAAATATTTTGAAGAAACTGCTGAGCAAGGAATTTGACATGAAGGATTTGAGAGTTGCAAAGAAAATCCTTGGAATGGAGATTTCAAGAGAAGACGGTGTTGTACATAGGTACATCAAAAAGGTTCTTGAGAGATTCAATATGCATATGAGCAAGCCTGTAAGTACACTGTTAGCTTCTCATTTCAAGCTTTCAGAGTTACAAATGCCCCAATCTATGGATGAGGTGGAGCATATGTCAAAGGTTCCTTATGCAAGCGCAGTTGGTAGCATTATGTATGCTATGATGTGAGTGCACACGTCCAGATATTGCTCAATTTGTAAGTGTGGTAAGCAGGTACATGGCAAATCCAGGAAAAAGGCATTGGGAAGCTGTGAAGTGGATATTGAGATATCTCAAAGGAGCTCCTGATGTTGGCCTAACCTTCTGGAAAAGTGAAGGTATTTCAATTCTCGGCTATATAGATTCTAACTATGCAGGGGATCTTTATAGAAGGAGGTCCACAACTGGATACATCTTTACTCTCGTTGGTAGTGTCGTTAGTTGGAAATCGACTTTACAATCGATTGTCACTTTGTCTACAACAGAGACAGAATATATGGCAGCAACGGAGGCAGTGAAAGAAGCTATCTGGTTGAAAGGTTTGGTGGCAGAATTGAGTTTGGTTCAGTTGGAATCAACTCTAAGATGTGATAGTCAAAGTGCTATTCATTTGATTAAAACTCAAAGATTTCATGAGCGCACCAAACACATTGATGTTCAGATTCCATTTTATTCGAGATGTCATTGAAGAGGGAGCTATCATGGTTGAGAAGGTTATCACAGAAGATACCGCTGCAGACATGTTGACCAAGATAGTTCCGCTTGCCAAGTTTACACACTGCAAGGACTTGGCGGGAGTATGCATCAACTAATACAACTCTAGGAGAACAACTGCTAGGTGGAGCTAGTATGTTCAACAAAGGTTTGATTCTTCTTGTTTCTTACAACGGGATTGCCCAGTAAGCTTAGAAGTTTTGGCCGGAGTTGTTTATACACATGCTCGGAACGCAAACCAAGGTGGAGATTGAAAGAATTGGTTTGGTCTTTGTGGAATCAAACTCAATGGAAGATGAATTAATATGAAGATTTGGTAGGAAGATAATTAGCACAAAATAAAAGTCAAGATAGTATCTTGGTAAGTGAAATTTAGGTAAACCTTAAAATAGTTTCACATGTTTAACCTTGACATTTATGACACATAGTGATGTCATGGATGACATCAATAAGAAGAATTCATTCCTATAAATAGGTAGCTCTTAATTCATTTTCAAATCATCCTCTCACTTGCCTTCTCACCTTCTAAGTCATTTGATGTTCTCTCTTGTAGTATTTCACTTGTATTCTTTGCAGAGTGAAATAAATATTGGTGTAGTTGTACTTTGGTGGACGTAGAATCATTTTGATCCGAACCACGTTAAATATTGTTGTTCTTTCTTGTTCTTTATTTTCACGTTTCCGCTAACAAATATATGATGAGCTAGTGCAACTCTTAAATATGTTGGCAAATTTTAAATAGTTTGGCATCCAGTAATGTTATCTAGACTAGCAAGTCCAAAAGTTATCTGTTGGATTATGTCTATGTTAGTACTTTCCGCCTCCAATCCTCATCCCAAAACACTATATCTTTCAATAGGCATTTACTAGAGGCTCTGCATTACTAATTTTATTCTATATATATTCTTCTATATCTTCAGTATCTTAAAAATGTTTCATTAATGCTATAAATGAGTAGTTATATTTTTTATGAAGGTATGTCAATATTTCAAAAGAGCTTTGGATGTTGTATACTCTAAATAATAACGTTTTGTCTATCATTGAAAACACTTTATGCTTCTTGATTTATTAATCATTGTTGTGACTTGAAGTGGAAATAAAGCATTATTTTTATTTACTTTTTGATGGCCATTTCTTAAGATGTTTGCATGTTTTGATGATAAATATCCATCTTTGATGATTTGGTCAATGTTCTATTCTGATTCATCCTATTATGAATTCTTTATGATTTGCAACTGCTATGTGAGTGGATGGGTCAAGTCTATATCCTCTTTTAGGTGTGGACAATTCATAACCCTATCTTTAGCTTCACTATTAGTTTTCAGAATACTTAGGAGTTTAGTTGGTCCTCCACTTATTGTTTTAATAGTTTTATTAGTTTTTTAGGACCTTGTGAATCTCATCTGAACTGCTATTCATCACTTCATTCATATTATCCACCTTTTTATTCTCATCCTCATCTCAATTTTGGATTTTTTCATCAGGGTCTTACCAACTAACAACTTTATGTTATTTACTTTTTATTCTCATATCCCAAGTGATTATTTCTAAGTCATGTGAGTTGTTGATATGTGTATTGTTGATGTCATTTGTGATTGTTCTATTATTTGTGTCTTGGCCAGTACCTTGTCCACTGTTGATTTTAGTTGTTGTACCAATGGCATTATCTTGTCCATTGGTTTGAGCTCTGTTTTAGTATGGTTGTT